ACAGAAGCGGACCTGCTGGAGCGGGTCCAGAGGGGGCCACAGAGATGTTCAGGGGCTGGAGCAGCTCCCCTGTGAGGACAGGCTGAGGGAGTTGGGGTGGTTCAGCCTGGAGAAGAGAAGGCTCCGGGGCGACCTTAGAGCGGCCTTCAGTGCTGAAAGGGGGCCTGTAAGAAAGATGAGGACAGACTTTTTAACGGTTTTAAACTAAAAGAGGGTAGATTCAGACTAGATACAAGGAAGAATTTATTTTGTTTTGTTTGGGGTTTGGTTTTTTTGTTGTTGTTTTTTGTTTGTTTGTTTACAATGAGGGCGGTGAGGCACTAGCACAGGCTGCCCAAAGAAGCTGTGGCTGCCCTGTCCCTGGCAGTGCTCAAGGCCAGGTTGGATGAGGGTTGGAGTAACCTCGTCTGGCGGAACGTGTCCCTGCCCACGGCAGGTGGTTTGGAATGAAGTGATCTTTAAGGTCCCTTCCAACCCAAACCGTTCCATGATTCTACTTAGGTGAGGCAGACAACTAAAATTAGAAAAGCTGCATGTAAGAAAGAATTCAACATCAGTTCCTCCAATTTATAAGCACTGTTGCCAAAGCATGTACGCAGCACAGCAAAAGTAAAGAGGGTCTGTCACAAACCAAAAAAAGTTGTTATTCACGAGGCTCTCAACTTCTCTCCAAATGGGCTTATCGTATTTACACAGCTCCCTCTACTTACAGGCAGAGGCAAACGTGGCTCTGAATGACAGGGGCAGGGTGGACACACAACACACCTAATTTGACCGAATTGCACTGTACTGGAGTTCACACTTTGACATTACAGGATAACACTGGGTTGGAAAAGTAACATCACTTTGAACTTGCTTACGCAAGCAGGGAAACACTAATTACAGTCTAGACTCCTAATAGAAGTTTAACTTAATTTTCACACTACCTGGTGCAGAAGAATTTAGTTTCTAAAATGTTTCCAGTCACAGTGGAAATTTATCACTTTCCAAGCTTAAATCAAATTCATACTAACTCAAATTCCCATGGAGTCACCTTATGCCTAGAATTATGTTTGGCTCTACAGTTATTTGCAGGTACTGGCAGAAGGACTCCAAAGTGAGAAGGCAGGAGCCTGTGAAACCTTGACACTACTCTTATTGAGGTGCTGCATGTACTTACTGCATCTGAACACGTGCTGATTTCCATAAGCCTTTCGTTATTCAGAATAGCACTGCAGTGTTTTAGTAAACATTCCATCACTGCTTCGATCCTGAACTCCTTCCACCCCCCCCTCTTCCCACCCATTTAGTATTAACGTTTATTCCTAACAGATTTTTTGATTCAGAATGAAGAAAAGTGGTTTCATCTGTGGGTTTTTTAATTACCTTTTATTACTGGAAAATGTTCTGTTTCCTTTAAGCTAAAACTTCACAGTTTGTCTATGGTTATCAAATAGTATTTTTTGCTAGCTGTTAACAAGAGAGCAAGAAATGTAACTTACAACTGCTACTAAAGCTAACCACATGCTAGCATATAGATATATCTAATCAAAACAAAGGAAGATGAAGTTTTATTCCCAATGTTACGATGGAGGTGACTTTCGGAATACCCTTCATAAGCCTCTAAAAAAATCCGCATAACCGCTTTCTTTAACATCTCTGTAATTATCAGCTCTGGTTTGGGAGCCCAGGTACACCAGTAATTCCAGAGAATGCAAGGGTAAGTGTTACACAGCAGTAACTTTACTTTTTATCTGCAGATGCACTTAAAATTGCAATAAAACATCAAGAGATTTCCTCCTGAAATGCACACATGAAATACATCTCTTTAGGTAGTACAGTCACTCTTGTAAAATTAAAAAAAGCATTTGGGTCCCATATGAGCTTCACTTTCTGTTAACCCTTCAGGACTGGGAAGGCATGTCAATTTATACACTGAAGGGAAAACAAAGAAATACCTCACAACTCCTACAGCAACACTTTTACATCACCTATCTTTAAGCCAACTTGAAATGTCATCTCTGATATAACTAAATCAGTACCGGATGAATTTAAATGGCATTTCCTCAAAAGTTATCTTGCTTCCACCTGCAAACCACTGCTGTAACCCTCTTAGCACTGACTTTATCAGATTCCTGGGATGGTTATGCTTTGAGAGAAAGAACTGCTAGGCCCCTCAACTACATTTGGCTCCCAATTTTACTCCAACACCTTTCTTTCCTCCTTACCAACAGTAGCTTCCCAGAGGTAACTCGCGCTTCATTTCCGTACTCACGCCTCAAGCATTTTCACCAGGTGTGGTTTCATAAGCAGCTAAGTTTGTAAAAAGTGAAAGGAAGCCTGGCTCCATCTCCTTCTGCCCTCAGCAGCACTGCCCTAGCTGTGCCTTTCCTCTAGTGCTTACTGGGCTATTGCAAAGCTGATTTAACTCCTAGTGAAAAGCTACACCTTGTTTTGGGCTCATGGCTTGTTTTTCTACAAAGACAGTAATTTGAATATGTACTGTTCAGTCCCATAAGTAGCTCTGTAGCTTGACTGTAAAGGCTGTTTGAAGAATGCTGTGCCCATTTTTCAAATACAAAACTATAGTAAGATACCAAAGAACAGAAAATTCAAATCACTAAAGAATCCTTAAGTTCTAAATTATCCACTGCTTTCACTATCCATTGCCTTGTCCAAATATTTTATGAATTGTAGTTTACAATAGAGAAAGTACAGAAGGGGAGTGTGTTCAGTAGCTGTTACAGTGTTCTGAACTTGCTCACAGAAGGCAGTAATTGGGACAAAAAGTTTAAGGAGGATTACCTGCTGCTTCCCTGCCGCTCACAACGTTGACGGTTTTGCCATGCAGATGTTATTTGGTAATAAAGCATAAGACTGCCAGAGACTACTTCCAGCCTCCCCCCAAAGCATCTCCACCTTTGTCAGGCTGTTAATGAACACTTGCCAGGGAACAGTGACATAAATGGCTACGGCAGCCCTGCTTTCAATTAACCATGTATCACAGGGGGACAGGAAGATGGCCTGTGCTTGAAACACTGAGAAGTATCTAAATGTTTGCCTGGAATTACACAAGATTCACAGGTTTGAACCAGATAATTCAGGAGGTTTCTTTGCTGCCCAGAGAAGCAAAGCAGTTGAAGGGGTATCTTGCAAAGTCCTGAAACTGAGAGATGCATGGGATATCGTAAGTGGTATTGTTCGACACAGCCTTCTCCCCAACACTCTCTTGCTTCTGCTTTTGGCTATATTTAGTAAATAGAAGCTTACACAAAGGACTCTCAGAAAAAGAGACTCTTTAACCGAACTAGTATTTCCAGTTAGAAGGAATGGGACTGGGGACATGGAAAATTCTTCCACACACCAGACAAAGAGAGCCAAGAGTTATAAAAACATTACTTACTATACATTAGGGTTGTCCCAGCAACACAAAACCAACCATAACATTATGAAGACTGGAAGAAAAAAGCAGCACTAAAATTTTACAATGTCAGCCTTTCTTCCATAGCACTGCTTCGATTTCAGTCGACATTACTTCCATTGCAATGGACTATGGCCGATAGACCACATCTTCAGGTAACAGAGGACAGCACACCACTGCTTTCTTTCTTTTGGAGGCATAGTTTCATGCAGCTCAGAACTTTAAGTCTGCAATGATCCTTTCATATATTTCAATAAAAAGGGGGCTTCAGCTCAAGCAAAAATAAAGACTTCTCTAAATTGCTTTCCTTTTCACTCCTGTCTCCTTACAGCACATGAGCTAGAGGACATCTTTTCCTGGCCCTTGAACTGCAGAGGTATCTGCTTTGCACCACGGCTTATTGCTGGATTTACATAGCTGTATGTATTTTCATGTGAAGTGCAGGTATTCCTCGGC